GAATATGTAAATAGCCAGGCAGATATATATAAAAAATAAGGTGGCCAGTTGGCGAAGGCCATTGGTTGAGTGTTGACCTATGAACCAGAAGGTCATATTTTGATTCCCAGTCAGGGCATACACCCGATTGCAGGCTTGATCCCCAGTATTTGGTGTGCAGGAGCAGCCAACCAATTATTCTCTCTTACCATTGATATTTCTTTCTCCCTTTCCCTTACTATCTGAAATCAATAAAAATATACTTAAAAAATAAAGTAAAAGTAAAGAAACACCCAGTCTATTTGCTTCTTGGAAAAAGTACATTGAGGTTTAAGGTGTATGTAGATTGGAGACCTGGATTTCAATCTGAATCAATAAGCCACCTAGATATCATTATAAATCACTACCTTTTTGTGCCATATTTTCTTTGCCTGTACCAGGGGCAAGTTAGGCAAACACCAAGATTTTTTCTAGCTCTAAAGATATGCAGTAAATGAATACACACAAGCTGTGGTTTAAAGCACGACAAAAAGGGAAAAAAGAAATTATTTGGTCTTTGATCACTAGGACTAGAGGCAATAAAAATATGAGTTACTGGTTTTAGGAATCAAAGCATTCATCATCATACATAACTAACAAAGTAGGAAAGGGGTCATACAAATAGAAATAAGAGAAACTCTTTGTTCAAAGCTGGAAGACTTGTAGACTACAGATTCACACATGTGCTTCTTTCTAAAGGTGGTCCCAGATATTTCCCAGAGTGCGGTAATCCCTAACACCAAGTTTTCCACCAGCTCAGGGGCCAAAACTGAGAAAAGGCAGGATTATGTCTATCTTTGGTTCTTTTTTATTTTTTAAAATATATTTTATTGATTTTTTACAGAGAGGAAGGGAGAGAGATAGAGAGCCAGAAATGTCGATGAGAGAGAAACATCGACCAGCCGCCTCCTGCACATCCCCCACCGGGGATGTGCCTGCAACCAATGTACATGCCCTTGACTGGAATCGAACCCAGGACCTTTCAGTCCACAGACCGACGCTCTACCACTGAGCCAAACTGGTTTCGGCTATCTTTGGTTCTTTTTGAAAAATATATTTTATTGTTTTTTTTGTTTTTTTTACAGAGAGGAAGGGAGAGGGATTAGAGAGTTAGAAACATTGATGAGAGAGAAACATCAATCAGCTGCCTTCTTCACACTTTCTACTGCAGATGTGCCCGCAACCAAAGTACATGCCCTTGACCGGAATTGAACCCAGGACCCTTTACTTATACCATGAGAGGTAAAATTAAACATTCTGTGGTGACACAAACTCTGGACTAGGACAGGATAATTGGTGTTTGTTCTAACTTTGGTATAAATAGCTCTATGACTTTGAGCATGTCATTTAATCTTTCTGGGTCTCAGTTTTCTCATCTGTAAAATGGATATTTGATTAGAACTTTAAGGATCCCCAGTGTGGCCACTACAGTATTCTCCTTTCACCCTAAGGTCTAAAACTAGAGTCAGAGCATTGTGGGTTCCAGTCTGTGGCCTTGAGTACACTGGAGTGATTTTCTCCTTTGAGTCTGATCCACACCAGGAGTTGCATTGACAGAACCAATATTTTATACCCTGGATCCCTGGCTCTTGGAGAAAGTTCACTTTTTATAATGACTGTGCAATCTCAGACCTGCTTCTTGCCTGGGTCTTTTTTTCTTCACTCCTTTGGAATTACCCCATTACTACTCACTTCCCCACCCTCTCCTTCTCTGCCCACATATCTCCTTGCCACAAGACTTTTCTCTTACTAAGAATAGTTTAGTTTGGTTCCAGTGAACTGCTACATCTGGTTCTTAGTTAGGCACCTATCCCTTTCAGTTCTTTCCACTGGAAAAAAAAATTAGTGTTTCCTTACCTTTTCCCACTGAAATGTCAAGAGGCACCATGTTGGAAGCAGGTTATGTAGGCTGATGACTACTGTATTTGAGGGCAGCTTCAACAGCTTCATCACCAACAAGCTCTGTTATGGGAGGGTCAGACACTGCTATGCTTCCTACCTTTACACTCTAGGAAACATTTAAAATGATATATCTGTGCTTTGTCTTCTCTATGTGAATTGGGGGAAACCATTTACTAGTAAGTGGTGGTAGTGGGGATGAGAAAGAAAGACTTGGATACTAATATTTAATGAGTACTAAATGCTTTAGAAAAATCATCTCCTTGAAGCTTGACATAACTTCCTTATTATATATTAACAAGTAGAGTACAGCTTATATCTGTACTTAAAAAAACCTGCCATCACCTTGACCTTACCCCACTAGAATGGATTTTGGACTCTGACCTGCAGCACTTCATGAGAATGAATGTGTATTGTTTTCAGCCACTAAATCTGCGGTAATCTGTTACAGCAGCAATAAAATACTAATGCAGCTTCTAATCTCTTCCCTTAATCTCCATCCCCTGGCCCCCCTGGAATTACTTCACAATTAATGATACTTCTGCTTTCTTTTCCATACCTTGCCTTGTGTTCTTGCCTCTGACCTTCTTTTCCCTCTCTATCTCTGTCTCTCAGCCTGTTGACTCTTTCTGAAATTGCCTGATCATCAGCTGTCCCAGTAGATAGTACAAATGAGAAACCTTGCCTTTCCTCTGCTGGCCTTGAGTTGCATTGAGCTCAATGGATTGAAGGAGGCAGGGCTAGATCACACGTCACACAGCAAGCCTTCCCTAAGTGTCTTTCATCTGCCCCTGAAATCCTTTTCCCCATTACAGTTGCCTCTTTTCCCATAACTGAGATTTTCAGTCAGATGCCCATGCATGATTTTGTTTCAGGAAAGAGTGATGTGAAGAAGTAAGCATCTTATGTAATGAAGGAGGTGATGGAAACAGCTAGGTTCTCAGGGCAGAGGGTCTGGTGTCTGACCTCAAGTATGATACATGCCCTGTCCCTAACAGCAGAACTGTGAGGCATGGCTTCCCTGCCTCCACAACCAACTCTACAGCCTTCCTAGAGATTCTTCAGGTTTCTAAATATTTCTCATAAATGACTTTTCTGCTTCTTTTACTGGAATAGATTGTTATTAAACACACACACACACACACACAACACAATCAAAACACTGACTGTTATGCCTTGTGATCTCAACTTCAGCTCCCAAGCCAGTTCTTAGCCTTTCCAGACCTTCACTCCATTGGCTTCCCCATCTCAGAACTCCCTTATAAAATGGGAAAGAGACACAGAAATCAGCCCAGCAAACCAAAATCTGCCACCATCTTGGCATCCTCAGCTCATCTGGGAATAAGAAGAACAAAGCAAAGACACAAGGAGTGGCTGGGGCCTGACAGCCATGGCATGGTTTCTGGCTAGAGAATATTTAGGATGTGGGCTGCGTTATTCGGCTGCCAGATCTTTGCACATCCTTTGCTAAGGTTTATAAGGTGAATTTTGTGCTCTTTAGATTGGATTAGACATCTCTGACATCATCTATGACACCAGTATCATATTATTCTAGAAGTAGTAGTATAATTTGGTACTATTGATCAATCCATCCTTTTCTTGGTTTCCTTGATGCCACACAGTCTTGAATTTTCTCCTATTTTTCTGATTGCTCTTAAAACAACAACAATAAACTCCTCTGTGTATTCTTCTTCCTCTCCTTAGCTTTTATTTTTATTTTATAAGCATTTACTGCATAAGTAATGCACATATGTATATTAGGGAAGTATTCAATGAAAAGTAAAGGTCTGTCCCACCTCTGTCCCTCAGTTCATCATACTCTTAGTGTGTATGTGTAAACCATACAGGGTATATACAAACACACACAGCATGCACACACATTATATTCTATTTTTTTAAATACAAAAGTGCTATCATACCAGAACATTCACTGTAGAGCTCAGTAGATTAAAGGAGGCAGGGCTAGATCACACATCACTCAGCAAGCCTTCCCTAAGTGTCTTTCATCTGCCCCTGAAATCCCTTTTCCCATTACAGCTGCCTCTTTCCCCATTACGGAGATTCTCAGTCACTGTTTCATTCAACATTGAGCAGCAGCTACATACCAGACACTGTTCAGGAACAGGGAATGAAGTAGGCACATTTCACAGAATTTACATTCTAATAGGAGGAGCAGGCAATTAAAACATTACGAAATGTCAGATAATTTTTAATAATGACAGATGATTGAAAATTAAAGCATGATGATGTCAGAGAGAGTAGAGAGGTGATACTATATAGTGACCAGTGCAGGCCTCTATTCTATGAGGAGTTGATATTTGAGTTGAGGCAGCATCTGGATGACAAGGAGCCAGCCTGTGAAGATCTGAGGGAGGAGCCTTCCAGGAGTGGAAATAGAAATGACAAGGCCAGAATTAGGGGTGACTCCTTAATGCATACTACTGTGCCGCTTGCTTTTTCACTTAACAACTTGTATGAGAGATGGTTCCATGTATGCCACAGATCAGTCTTTTTCTCCTCCTCTTCCTCCTCCCCTTTCTTACTCTTTCTTCTCCCCCTTCTCCTTCTCTTCCTCCTTCTCCTCCTCCACCCTTTCCCTTTCCCCTCCTTCTTGGCGGCTGCATAGGATTCCATTATAGGGATAATATAATAATTTATTTAGTCACATGCTGGTATTTAAACAATTTGTAATCTTGCTGATTCACACAGTGCTTCATGAACATTTTTGTACATACATACTTGCCCTCTCTGCGAGCTCTCTGCAGCCATGCATTTTGCTTCCCACATCATTGCAAGCCCACCACTGTGCAAGCCCCAGGATTGGGAAGGAATCAGCACATGCTTGTGAAAGCACTAGAGGCAGTTCTCAGGTGCCAAACCACACTGTCTCTGGCTGTTCCTCGGGAGGGGTGGAGGATGGAGCAACTGCTGGCATGCTCTCTTTATGTGGACACACTTCCTGATTCTTTCCTGAGTCCTGTCTTTGAGTCCCCCTGCAGGCATTCCTGATGATATTTCCTGTAAGTGAAACTTTAGGGAGTAGAGCTTCCTACTGTGGTCTGGTCCCTGCCTGCTGTCATGGTTCATACAGATTGACCCTGTGGTTGGCCCAGCTGCCATCGCCCCAGCACCCTGCGGATGGCGATCATGACCTCACAGTTGCGCAGGCTGTAGATGAATGGATAGAGCAGCGGTGTGACATTGGTGTAGATGAGCGCCAGTGTGCGGTCCCGCTGCGGGGAGTAGCTGGCCTTAGGCCGCACATACATAAAGGTGGCACAGCCATAATGCAGAAAGGTGACAGCCAGGTGTGAGCCACAGGTAGAGGCAGCCTTGCGCCGGCCCCCAGGCGAGTGCTGGTGGTGCAGGGCGGTGGCGATGGCACCATAGGAAGCCAAGATGAGTACCAAGGGCAGTAGCAGCAGCACCAGGCAGGCACCCAGCAGGGGCAGCTCATCCATGTAGCTCTGCGTGCAGGCCAGGTGCAACAGCGCTGTGATGTCGCAGAAGAAATGCACCAGCAGGTGGGAACCACAGAAAGGCAGGTGGAAGACCGCCACCGTGAGCCCCACAGACACTGTCAGTCCCCCAAGGCAACAGGCCAGGGCCAGTCGCGCGCACAGCCCCGGGGTCACCACTGCCGCATAACGCAGCGGGTGGCAGATGGCCATGTAGCGGTCATAGGCCATGGCGGCCAGCAGGAAGCACTCGGCCCCACCCAGTGCCACGAACATCTGCATCTGAACAGCGCAGCCCAGGAAAGAGATGGGGCAGCCCCTGCCAAGGCCAAGGCAGGGTGCAGCCAGGTCAGCCAGGGAGCGGGGCACCACCACCAGCGTGTAGCAAAGCTCAATGGCTGACAGCTGGCATAGGAAAAGCAGCATGGGTGGCCGGCTGGGCATGTAGGTCACTGCCACCAGGATGAGCAGGTTCCCACTCAGGGTGACCAGGTGCACAGCCAGTAGCAGCAGGAAGAGCACAGGCCTCAGGTGTGGAAACTCAGAGAAGCCCTGAAGGAGAAAACCCCGTGGCATGGTAGCATTGCTGGGGCTGTCCATGTGGGCCGCTCAGAGACACCTGTGGGAGAGAAATGAGGGAAATGCAAGCTGTGAGGTGCCACCCTTCCTGCCCCACTGGTGGAGAAAGGGCCAGTAGTTAGAGGGTAGAAGGGAGTAGTGGATATAGAGAGTGGTGGTAGGTACATGGTACACTCCCAGACCCTCCCCATGAGAATGTCTTGTTAACTGGTTCAGAAACATGGTGCAGGCCTTCCTGCCTCTTGGACTAGATTCACAGCTGCTTTCTCAACATGCTCTTTCTAAGGAAGCCTCTTTCCTTACAATGCATCACTCATGACCTCCACCTATGAAGAATTTCTGAGGGGCCTAGCCTGAGCTCCCCAAGGCATGAAATGTGTCATCAATCTCTGCCTCTGTTTCCGCCTTCCGCCTTCTCGTCCTTTCTGAGCATCTTTCTGTATGTGTCACAGAATTACAGAAACATAAAGCAGATGAAGACCTTTGAGCTCATGTTCTACAACCTCATAATTGTAAAGAGAAAAATGAGGCTGGGGATGGTAGTAGTGAAGAGCTTAACTGCTCCTAGAAAATTATGAATAGAATCTGCATTCCTGAGACTGAATCCAGAACTTCCCCTGACTCCAAATGGAGCTGTAAAAAAAGTCACTTCAGTCAATCTGCAGTAATTTAGTCTTAAACGGAGACGCAAGTGTGTGCCAGGCATTGAGGCAGACACAGGGAGAGCAGGGCAAGTTAGCGGGAGGGCCTGGCTGGGCACATCGGGAACAATGTGTCCCTAACATTTTCATTGGAAGTGATGTGTATCTGTTTGAACTCGCCTTTCTGAGTGAGTAGTAGTACATTTCAAATTTGCCAACTGAACACAGTTTCCTCTTAAGCATTATTGTTGACTCATTTGCAGGCAACATTTGGAAAACATTGATAGTCTACTATAGGTCGACTGTGCTTGTTATAAAACCTAGTGTGGGGAACATGGGGTGGTAAGAAATTCAAGGCCATGCAAACAAGAGGAGGATGCTTGATTTTTCCAATAGTTATTTATAATATCTCTTATTTCCTTATCTCTTTTATTAATTTCAGTTGTAAGCTCAACTATTATTTCTTCTCAGTGACTTTGAGTCACGGTTTATAACCAATGTTGGAAGTGGAATTAGTGCATAGCTTTTATACCATAGAAGTGCAATAGCAATAAAGCTGGGTTAAGGGCATGGTCAGATGAAAGAGCTGGAAGGAATGCAGAGAGCTTGGGCTTTGCTAGCTAGTGCTCCTTTTGGAGAAGAGAATTCTGAAGAATTATCAATGTCAACCTGTGCTTTTTCTTGTCATCTGGGAGGAATGTCTCCAAATAGATGTTTGTAGTCTTGTGGAGGACAAGTAAAATGGGGTTTTGGGTGGTACTAAGGGAGATGGAATCATTTCCCTTGTGTTTTAGAACCCTCACTTTTTTAAGCCAATATTCAGTCTATTGAGCAAATTTAACAAACCTTTTTCTGTTGAGTGCTTCTTCCTTGTCAAGTGTTGTAGCTGCAGTTGTGAACAAGAGAGAAGTCTGGCTGCCCTGGAGGTCCTTGCAGGATATAACTGCTGAGGGACCCACTGTAGCTCTCTTCTCTCTGATTCGGCTCGCTCTTCTCTACTCCTCTCTTTTTAGAGAAGCAGGGGGTGGAGGGCTGAGAGACAGAAATGATCCAGTTCTTTTGCCTTCATGTTCATACTGCTCAGAAATGGAGATGACAAGAAGGGCCAGGAAGAGGTGCCAATAACTGCATACTGAACATAGATCATGTTTTTTTATAAGCACGGTCCCACGAAGTGAGCCACATAGGTCAACTAAACAAAAAGGAGACTGAGGAGTTTTTAAGAAGATTTGTTGCAAACTTAAGAAATGTATGTCACAAAAGTCTTTTCTCTTCAAGGATGAGGGGGGATCAGGCACTTCCATTCAAAACCCAGCTCTATCAGAGTCCTTGAAGCTACAGAGGGAAAAGAAATAACAAGGCCTGCTTAAGCCCCTCCTTCCCTTTCCCGTCTCCTCCCCTTCACTTTCCCCAGGGGCAGAGGGCAGATATTCTTGTTCTTCCAGTTGATTCATAGTATCAACAATATTAGTTGTGCTTAAGAGAGTAAGTAGCTGGCAAATGCTCACAATGTCTTTACTCATTTAATCCTAATGACAATTCAATAAAGTAGGTCAACTCTTAAACTCATCGTACAGATGAGGAAATTGAGGTTTAAAGGAATTAGATGTTATGAGCCAAATTTTACACCCAAACCTTTCATAGTCCATGGTCCTATCCACAACATAGTGTTCCTTATCTAGACCTCTCCTAAAAATTCTTCCCGCCTAAGACACACCCTACCCTTCTTCCCACATCTCCTACTCTCCCTCTCTAGAAATTAGCTGCACTCTCCTAGGCATTGCTGTCCTAAGATTTCCCTTTGTTGACATTCTCTTGAGCCCCGGTGGCTGTGAGCAACAATACAGATAGTCTAAGATAGCAAATCTAAAAATAATTTCTCCTTAGCTTTGACATTCATCGCTGCGGCTGTTATTGTTCTGGCAGATCTGCTTTTCTAATTGTGTGATGCTCAATGGAGCACCCACAGAGTAATGCCTGGCTGGTGGCCCAGGACATTGGGATGTGGCTGAAAGCCTCATTGGGCTGCAGCTGCAAGCTGGGCTTTGATTTTCACAGTGCAGGATAATTAAAACTACCTGTAATACTAATGTTTTTTAAAATTGGTCATTTCAATAGTTAATGGAAGCACATTAAAGAGGGGATGATGAAATGAGAGATTGGAGAGGCAAACAGGTCAGGCTCTTACAGACCACTAGACATGACCAGATCTCTGGCACCCCTCTCTAGACCACCTGGCATCCATCATTTTGACCACCTGACATCTAACTGATTGCCATCCTGGACCAGTCCTAGGGCTAAGAATGCAGGGCTGATTATTACCAAAAATGCACTTTGAACTATAAGAACACAATTTTTCTTCCTTCTGAACATTTTTGAGGTTTTGCCTAGCTGTATTCCCAGTTTAAAAACTCTAAGACCCTGGAATAAATATTTATAATTAGTTTCTAGCCAAGCCTCCAGACTCTTTTTTAGTTCCTTTGACATATGTTAGAACCCAACTTTTATAGTATCGTGGCAGCCTTTGGGCTATATTTGCATAGCAGCTGACATAATTATGATAATGACTTCTTTTTCTATGTCATTAGTCTTTTCCTTAATTTATAACAGATAACTCAAAACCAATTAATATACATATATTTGCATTATTATGTATTTCAAATTTAGATGTTTTCTAAAATACAAATCTTGAATTAAAACTTATTACCATTCTCTTGCTCAGATGCAAACTTTTATCTTTTGGTGGTGTTTTTCTCATCAGTTTGTTATTTCCTTTACTCAGAGGAGCTACATATTATCTCTGGATTCACAGATTTTACTGTATGCTCCCTATTCCAACCATTTATAATTTCAACTTCGACTCCAGTAGGTGCCTCTTTTCTGTACCTGTGTTTCTGTCTTGTGAGCCACTTCCTTTCATGTGATAAAGCAGTCCACTGAGTCCTTGAAAACTAAATTTGGTAAGAAAGCTTGTCAAGAGTTTTTGGAAGTCTAAATAAAAGAAATCCTTTGTTATTTTTTGTTGGCATCTGTGTCCCCAAAAGCACTTAAATAGATTTAATAAGGAATATTTTCCTTACACGGACATTCTTTCTTTCCTCCCTTTATGGTGTTTCCTGAAGTATTTAGTGATCCTACATGTAATAAAAGTGAGATGCCCTTCATACTTTCTGCGTCTTCTCAGGAATTCTTCTTAAAGTGATGGTTACACAAGCACTCTTTTAATTTTCCAGCTTTGGGTCAATACATTACTTTGGGTTTTGCATTTTGGCCAACATTTATCCTTCAAGTTTCCTGACAATTTTGAATTACAACAATGTGTGCACTTGTGTTTAGAGCCCCCTAAATAGTTGCCGCTGTTAATTCTCTTTTCTTTAAATCAATTTTGGGATTAGGACTTTGAGTCAAGTATCATTCAGGCTTCATGCTCTCTTTTAATTTAATCTGAAGAGGAGCTTTGAACTACACAAATCCAGGAGTCCTGCTGATTTTAGAGCTTGGTTTCCGCCTTTGATGCTTTAAAAAAATTCTCAGCTTGAACAAAGCAGTATCCATTTAAATGGATATCTCTGACCCAGGCTTCCGCCACAAGAACAGAGATATTCTTCAAAAACCAGCACTTTAATGTTCAACATCAAAATTGTCTGGCAAAGAGACTGTCCCCATTCTGGGACTGTGAAGGACATCCTTATCACACATAAATGCATGGTCATTGTACTGTTACATTTTGAAAAGTATTCTAGGCCTGAGAGTCAGTCACTTTAATGACTTGAAAAAAATATTAACATCTTTTCTATATAGGAACACTAGTTTGTTTTCTAAATTTGTTTTTAAGATTAACTGTCATTTTTCATGAAGTCAGTTTTGGTAGGTTTGAAAATACTTTTAATTTCTAAACTGCATCTTATGCCACAGAACAGCAAGAGGGTTCCTTAAAAAACTCAGATGAGCCTTCTACTAAAAGATGCTCTTTTGCTTCTTGTTGGTCACAGACTGAAAGCTGGAACTAAGGAATAGGGCAAGGCAGCTTCTTGGATAAAGAAATCAAGGTTATCTTAGTTCTGCCAGGGTATTTTCATGATTTATTAAACTGGAAAAACAACAACAACCCACTGGTTAAAAAAATATATATTGTTATCCTAGCCTAGCCACCACACAGGAGAGAGCACACTGATATCTTTGGAGCATAGTTTCAGAAAGCCATGGGCCCTCAGCAGATCCTTCACTTGGGAGAGTTGTGTGTATAATTTTGACTTCAGGAGTTCTTTCCAGTGGGATACTCTCCTCTCCATCCTGCTGCCTACCCCCAAGTCTCCAGAAAAGACTTCTTTGTTTGCTGAGAAAAAGCAACAGAAGTCCAGATGAAATGAGATAGAACAC